AGCTGCTGGCCTGATAGAGTGATGGAACAACTTGTTGCAGCCACAGCTAAGATCCCAGCTTGGAGAGGATACAGTGCAAAAATGGGGCATCGTCCTCCCAAACATAGTATATACCCTAAATCAATGACCATTGTTTATACTGTGTCCCTAAAAGGTAGAATACATGGGCCTGTACATTCAGAGGTGAAAGTAGGAGTGGCCCCACTAACCATCAAACCAGTCATCAAATTTTGGAATGTGTGTTTCCTGTTTCATTAGGACTCTGCAAGGTTAGATGTCCTGGTTCTCCAAGGGGGAACCCTGTCACCAGGGGACACAGCAAGGATCCCAGTATATTCTAAGTTATGACTGTCATCTGGACACTTCAGGCTTCACATTCTAATGGACGTGAAAAATCACTGTCTTGGCAGGGGTGCATGACCTTGAGCTTCAGAAGGAGGTGGGGCTGCTGCTGCTGCACAGTGGACAGGGAGGGATAAGTTTGGCATCTGTTGATGCTCTTTGCTCAACTTCGATGGCACATGCACAAGTACCACAGCCGCAGTCTGAGAAGGCCATGGGTCGTCTAAGGGCTAGGGGCTCAGGGGTCACTCAAGGATGAGGGAAGGGGCCATTCACCAGGTAAGCCACTGAGACCCAGAGAGGTGCTAGCTGAGGGTAAAGAATCTAGAACACATAGTAGAGGAAGGAGACAATAAATAGCACTTACGGCCTTGACATCAACCGAGGCCGTGGACGTTGGTGTGCGCTTTCAGGTTACTCCCTGAAAACAAAACCAACTAGAACTCTGGACATGCTGTTCCCAGTTGGGGCAAACACTCTAAGAAACAAGTGAATCTGAGCAGTACAAGGGGCGGATGGTATGCTCCATCCGGATCCTTACCACTGCCCTTCGAGCCTTCACAGCTCCCCCTTAGCTCCTGGGAGTATCTGTCCTGAGGGCTCGCAGCGCTGTTCCTGACTGGGCACTGCCCTCCGCAGCAGATGTTTGTCTTTCCTAAGATGATACCTCCTCCCAGGGGGCAGTCTGACGTCAATGACTAAGCAAGAATCCAAAATCCTGGCCCCCCCACCAAACTCAAGTGTAACAACTCTGAAGGGTCATCCCAGCTCCAGGGCCCCCAGAAGCCTGGCAGCAGCCTCTGTTGTGGCTGTATCATAGCTCAACCTTTCCTTCTGCCAAATTCTGCTTCCCCCACTCCTCCCCCGCAACAGGTGTTGTTCCCAAGAACTCTCCCCAACAAATCTGCACATAAATCTCAAAGTCTCAGGGTCTGCTTCCAAGGAAGTCTAAGAAAAGAAGCCACAATAAGAAATATATTTTATATAACCCACTACATAGCTATTTACATAATAACCCACCCTATATATGTAATATATATTATATAAGACACATATACCGAAAATGCAGGATCCTTATACAATATATAACATATTATATATCACATGTTATGTGTAGATGCATGTAGAATGCATACAAATATACATATTTAACTGGAATGAAAGTTTCAGTAAATAATTACTCTTACTATGTGCAATGGAATACAATATTTCCTATTCTTTTTTATTCTATTTTATGAAGAAAAACATACACATGCATATATCTCATAGGCTATAAATCTATTATCTAACAGATGCACCACACATGTTATATGATGTACAGTCTTGATTATCTCTCTCATTGGAGTAACAGTTTCGCTAAATAAGCCTTCTAGTCACTATGTGCAATATTTTCTGGAATCTTCTATTTTCACATATCTTAGTTCGTGAAACAATGAAATGCTGATCACAAGTCATTAGGGGACCCACAGTCTGCAAAGCATTGGGTTAGATTATCTGTAAAGAGGTGAGATGAACCTCCACTCAGAATGTATAACTTTAAACCACGGAGGACTTGCTGCCCAGGAGAGAATGAGAGTGGTGAGGGAGGCAGACTGTCCTGAGGTGTGCAATTGATTACAGATTTTGCACAACAACCCCTTTATTCCAGGCTGAACCCCCTAAAGCCTGTGTGTTGCTGGATGCCTGTGAACTGGGGATGTAGAGGCCTCTGTCCCCTGGTGGCCATAGGTGCTCTCCCTTCGCCCATCACACCCCGCCTACAGTGGACACTAAATAAATGTTTGTGACATCGACTAGAAGAAACCTTTTGAGGAACAGTTGGACAAAAGGGGGCTTGTGGGATGCAGAAGGGGAGGGGAAGAACCTTTCACTGAATCAGCAGGTAGGTGTTCATGCTTGCTTGCCCAACATATTACAAGAAAAAAGGGTAAACTCTGGTGTTGTGATTATGGAAAAGGGGAGGTCCTTGTCGGTATGCGGTAGATAACTAATGTGCTTGGTGGAATGACGGGAAAAGCAGCAAAGACTCTACCTGGAGGGGTGGAGTAGAGAAGGGAAGTCTAAAGTAAAGTGCTTACCAATATACAGCAGGGGTCTCATTAAGGTTTGTTGACTTCAATGGAGCAAATTTAGCCAGAAAGATAACTCCCGAGCGAGTGGATCTTATGAAGGAACCACAGCGTGTGTTCAATAAATGCTTCATGGATTGATGAAGGAAAGATTGATGTAGTTGTCTGAACAGAATGCACTAAGAAATTAATAAGTGCTTTTTGGATTGAGGGAAAAAAGGGTTGTTGGGAAGATGGCAAATAAATGGGGGCAGAATACTTGGCCAGAAGACAGTAGGTGCACATCATGAGCTTTCAGAATCGTGTGGTGTGACAGGCAGGAAGGGGGTTGTTCAAGGGGGAATTAGGCTACAACAGGGAAAGGAGAAGAGACACCTAGCATGGGATTCTTGGCAGTATACAGTAAGTGCTCATTAGATAGTTGTGGATTCGAATGTAGGAAAAGGTATACCAGAAGAGAATCCAGTTGGCAGTTGGGATTATAAGGGAGGGAAAGCAAAGGAACGGAAGGGTTAGAAGTAGGGGAATTACAGCGGGGCTTAACAAACGCTGGCACAGAGTGTGCAATAACTCTGTGTAAAATGAATAAATGGCTCCAAATAAGAGAAAGGCTGATGGTTTAGGGCTCCTGGGTATAGGGGTGAGCTAACCAGTAAAGAACTGGTACCCAGTAAATTCAGGATGAAGTACACCCCTCAAGAGAGCTCTTGAGACAGGTGACACTCAATAAACTCAAACCGGGAAGAAGGACGTTGAGAATGGCTATTACAGAGTAGGTGCTCGGTCACTGTTTATTGGCTTAAATAGAAGGAAGGCCCTTTGGGATGTGGACTTAAGAGTGGGAGAGGACATTGTAGGGACACTAGAGGGAGTGGAAAAGAGGTAGCCCTTAGAAGTTGGGCTCTGGATTTACCATAGGAAAAGACCCTGGGGAGAGAAAGGCCTTATGGTTGATGCAGGTTCTCCTATGGCTGATGAAGGGGAGCACCTACATACAGCAGGTGCTGCACACATGCTCACTGGATCCACTGGAATAAAAGGATATTGCAGGTGTGTGTGTGTGTGTGTGTGTGTGTGTGTGTGTGTGTGTGTGTGTGTGAATATAGAGCACACAGAAGGTATTCCAAAAATGTTCACAGGAGCCACTGGAGGACAAGGTCTTTGGGGGAAAGTGATTACAATTGAGTACCCGGCTGCTAATGAATAAATGTTCACTAGACTCATTAAAAGAGGAGGGGGTCAGGGGTGGGGGCTAGAGATGGGCTGCAACCACTGGATCCGCTGGAAAAAGGGGAATAGGGACACCAGAGCTTGATCTATGTAAGCTTGATTGTCTATCCGTGGGAGGAAAGACCTGTGCAGAAGGCACAGAATCAGGCACACAACAGGTGCTTCACAAATGCTTCTAAGGAGTAATTAAAAAGAAATGGTCTTTGGAAGGAGATTGAAGTGGTGTACACAGCAAGTGCTAGGTATCTGGTCACTGTATTCATTGGAGGTAAAGGCCTTTATGGAGAAGACGTAAGGTTGTGTCATGCAGAAGGTGCTCAATTCATGCAGACTGAAGATGAAAGAGCACTGGGGAAAGGGTTAAATGACTGGGGTAAAAGCAGGCACTCAATAAATGCTTGCTGAATACACTGAAGGAAAGTGCCTTTAGAGGTTTACACAGCAGGCGGTTGATTAATGCTAGGTGGGTCTACCAAAGGAACAGTCTTTGAAGGAGTAGCTTGAGAACAGATGATAAAGGAGACATTCAATAAATGCTTTCTAGATCCACTGTAGGAAAAGGATTTGGGGGAGTGAGTCTGAAGATGAGTCACACACATAAGGTTCAAAAATGCTCATGGAAGTCATTTGCGGAAAATGGTATATTTGAGAAAGGGGTTTGAGGATGGGGCATACATCAGTCACTTAATGTGTCCTACCTCCTTTGGAGAAACAGGCCCTTGGAGAGGGGGCGCATAGAAGGTATTCAATAAAGGATCACAGGCTCCATTAAGAGCAATGCTTTTGGTGAGATGCTGGGGTGGGATACACAGCAGGCACTCAATCAATGTTTACTGAATAGTTTAAAAGGTCTTTCTGGAGAGGGTTGGGGTGGGGCACACAGCACACCCTGGATACATGCTCACAAGATCTATTTGGGAGAAGGCCTTAGGGCAAGGGTTAAGGAGAACAAGACACACATCAAGCTCTTAATGAATGTTCACAAAATTCATGTACGCCAAAGGCCTTGGGGAAGGGCTCTGTGATGAGGCACACTGCAGGTACTTGATAAATGCTTACAAGATCCATTAGAGGACAAGGTCCTTGGGGCGAGGGCGGGGGAGGGGGGTTGAGGCAGGGCACATAAGGCTCTGAAATGCTCACAGACATTTGAAGCAAAGGTTTTGGGAAGGAGGTAAACAGCAGGCGCCCGATAACTGCTCCCAGTACCGATAGAGAAAGCGGGGTTAAGGTGTGGAATGGGGGCAAGGGCGGAGTACGCAGAAAGCACCCAGGAAAATAATTTAAAGGGAAAGGGTATATATGGGCAGGGGGGCCAGCTGCCGGGAGCACGGGGAGACGTCCATGGCGGTGGCTTACCAGTCGGTGTGGGGCTCGTCGATGACCAGCAGCACCCTGGCGGCGGCGCCCCCGCGGCCTGCGCCCCAGAGCCGCCGCCCACCTGCTCGCTGAAGGTGGCGGCCGCGGCCGCTGTGGTCTGCTTAACCGCGTTGGACAGCGACGAGAAGAAGCCACCGCCCCCCGACGACCCGGGGCTTGGGGCAGCCGGAGAAGCCACCGGGGCGGCCCCGGAGGCCCTCTCGGCAGAGGCGGTCGCGGGACTGGGTGTGGCTCCGGGGCTGGGGGCAGAAGGCGGCGGCGGGGGCGGCTGCGGGCGCTGCAGGTCTGTCATGTACCCATTTGGCAGATTGGCCATGAAGTTGCTGTCCGACAGGCGGCGCCGCAGGTAGTTCATGGCTGCGGCGCGGGGCAGGGGGTCCTAGGAGCAGTCTGATCAGGAGCCGCGGGGGCGGACCGCGCGGGACCCGGGAGCACAGCTGCACTCTCAGGCACGACGCGACTCTTCGGCTGCCCGCTGCAGACTGAGGCAGCGCTGAGTCGCCGCCGCCGCAGCGCGGATGGTCGCGCCCGTACCCCCTATCTGGCGCTCGGCGTGGTGCAGTCCGTCTGGGCCGGCGGCGGCGCGGACGCGACCAAGGCGACCTGGAAGGGGAGTTTGCGGAGGAACGGCCAGTGACGTCAGCGCGCCTTCAGTGCTGGGGCGGCGGTGGCGCGCGTCGGCAGGCGGGGGCGCAGGCACTGTCCGCGGTGCTGAAGGCGGCAGTGCGCACGCGCCACGCCGCATCTTGTTTCCCTCTCGCCCCCCCACCATTGGGGATGCGCAATTTGGGGAATGGGGGCGGGGTGGGTGCTTGTCCAGAGCGTTAGGATGGGTGGTCAGACAAGCCCCCCCCCCTGCTTCATCCTGGTCTTCACACTCGCCCTCATGCAGGACCTTCGGTAGATACTCGGATTCCTGTGTTGATATTCACCACAGAAGGCATTTGGGGGGGGGATGGGAATGGGGGCACACCCGGTGACACAGAAGTAGAGAAGTAACCCCCTCACAGAGAGGGTTGGGGGGAAGGTCACACTCAGTACCCCGCGGGGAAATCAGTCTCCGACGTCCACACAGGCTTGAGCAGAGAGAAAGGTGCGTGGGCGGTGAAGCCAGCATCAGACTGGCAAAGGTGAGCACTTGGGCGGAGTACACACCCTTGCCCCCGGGAGCTGGTAGACAGGAGGCACACAGGGAATTACACACACGTGGGGACACACACACACACACACACACACACACGTAGGGAAACACACAGAGCCATGTACATAGAAGACAAGGATCCTGGCATCTACACATACACACATAATCCCAGGGTAACACACATGGGCATGCATGCATATACACAGTATAGGCCTGCATATGCACACAGCTACACTGACACAGAGACCCAGGGGAACGCACACAAGCGTGTGCACCCCAACAGAACACATACCCACTGACAATTATGGACAAACCTAGGGCTGCTACACAGACATATTTCCTGAGGATCTAGCCTTGATGTGTGCCCATCTCCCTTTCCCATCCCCCCACATTTGGTCCATATGCCCCATCCCTTCACCCTGGACACAGTCAAAACCCACAACCACCTGTTATTTATCAGTGCTCATATTTGCCTCCCCCTACACCCAAGAAATTTACACAGAGGGACAGCCATCCAAGGATATGCCTGCAGCAGGTGCCAAATGTTTGCCACATGAGTGAATGATCTTTATAGTCCAGGCAGAGATGAGCTGTGGAATCCATTCTGTCAACCCCTGTAAGATTCTGACCACTATGAAAGCACTTATTTTTTTATAAGTAATCATTTGTTGACAGTACCTAATACTTGACTAAGTTGTTTACAAACATTGCCTCATCCAACCCTCATGATAATACTATTGGGCGGGCAATATCATTTTCGTTTTATAGGTGAGGAAATCTGAAAACTCAAATTTCATTCCCAAAGGGTCATGTTCATTTTGTAATTTGTGCACTTATTTTTTCTTTTAAGAAGTGCCAGGAGTAAGTGCCAGTGCAGCTGAAACAAGGTGAGAAGATTGTGGCAGATTGAATCAGAAATGTTAGCAGGGACCAGACTGAGCAGGGCCTTGTGGGCCGCGGTGAGAGATGACTGTGGACCAAGTGAGGTGGAAGAAGATAAGGCAAGAAGCAGGCAGATTTGGAGTCTCATCTACCTGCAGGATTTTCAGAGTTGTCATCCACTTATCTGTTCATTCTTCATTCATTAAACCATTGGCCTGTTTAAATGAGGCAAAAATAGTGTGGGGTCTGAAGTCAGAGTGCCTGAATTCAAACTTGGGCTCCATCATGGCATTGGGAAAATAACTCAGCCCCTCTGAGCCTTGGCTTACTTCATCCATAAAAAATATCACCTTCACCCTCTTCAGAGGTGAAGGGGAGTCACCCTCTATCTTTGAATGTACTGTAACTTCTCAGGAAGTTTCCTCAGGAAGTTTCCATTTCCTGTCTTCTAAGGATGATCTTTGGCCAAAGTCTACAGGAAATCCTCTCCCCCAGGACTCAGATTCCATCCCCTCTTCCCCTGGGTTCCCACAGTTCCCAAGACAAATATTTTCAAGCCATCCTCCATGCCTTCCTCTACCCAGTCAGCTTCAGTCCCACCTCCAGGCCTTTGCTTTGGCCACCCTCTCTTCTGGATGCCCTCTCTGGCATTCCATCTCCCAGTATTCCTCACAAAACCAGTATTGACCAAGATTTCAAACTACATGCTCTCCAGTTTTTTGCTCAGTAACTGAAGCAAACAAGCTGTGCTGGGCCCGTGGTGCCCTCTCTGGGGGACAGGAGCAGCTGCAAGTCTACAGACTTTTCTGGCTTCTCTGGCAACCAGAAGTCAGGATCTTCAGGAATCTGTCAGACAGTCTCTTCCCAGGGGCTCGGTTCCTAGTATTTGTAGTTCCAAGTGTCATTCCTTTTCTCCAGACATTTTTTTGGTAGACTGTTTTGCAGAAGTGAGTATTCCCCCCAGGAGTGTCTAAACTCCCCAAGGCAAGAGTTAAGGCTCTCCGGTACTGTCTCTATCTTCCCCAGCAGGACTGAGTGTATAGAAGGGACACCAAGAATGATTCTTTGTTGTGCATCAGTGAGCCACAACTCTGAAACACATCCTCTGACATGTTCATAATCAGCACTGTCCCCACATTTATAAGATATCCATAATATCCGTGCCACTTTAATATGCATGCACATAATACATAGCTATGGTGCACACAATTATAACTTCATGTACACTCTACATACACTCAGTACCTCCCAGACAAGAGTGCCCTGACAGTCTGGGTGCTGCAGATCTGCCATGCACAAAGCAGAAGTCCGAAACCTTGCTCCTGACATAGTGCTTCAGGAATGTCTAACCCACTATCTTTCTGTGCCTGTTTTCCTTTGTAAAATGGGGATAATGATAAAACTGGACCTTCTAGGTTCATTGTAGATGAAAAGAATTTATGCTATGGAAAGTCTTAAAATACTACAAAGGCACCCGGGCAAGTACTGTCTCAGAATTAGCATTACCATGATTATGATTTTTATGATTTGTCTCATCACAAGAGGCCCTGTTTTCAGTAAGTGCTAATTAGTGCTAAATAAATGAGCAAATACTAAGAGCATTAGTGTCTGGGTTTGTTCTCTTGGCTGTGGAGACACTACCATGCTGACTCTTCTCTATTACCTATGATGTCCAGCACTATTGTTAGTATACAGTAGGCGTAGATAAGTGTCAAATAAACGTTCAAATGAAAGGATCACCCATTCTGAGTCTGTTCTCTTGCTCAGATGTCCTCTCCTTTTAACCGTCCTCCACCACCCTGATGCCCAGACTTAGCTGTAGTATCCATTAGATGCTAATTAGTGTTGAATGAACAAACGCTAGAGGAACCTGTGTCTGGTTTGGTCTCAGGGCTCCTCCACGCAAATGCTGACTTTAGCTTCTCTCAGCCCCCACTCCAGCTCTGAGCACCTCATAGGCACTTCTTCAGTCCGCCCCCCCTTCCCCCTCCCGGAGCTATTTGTCGACACTAATTGCAGCATTGGAATTGGGCTGTTGGGAGTGGGCGGGTGCAGGTGCTCTCGCAGCGGGGTGCCAACTTCAGCCACGCCTCTGCCGCCATTCAACTGTGGATTGACAGGCCAGCCAAGAAGCTCCTGTGGGTGGGAACCTAGGGAGCTCAAGGAGGCGGGGAGACAGAGAATAAGCAAGCCAATCAGGAAGCCCGGAGCTCTGCAGAGGGATGCGCTGGGTGGCCCCAGGGCATTGTGGGTGGGGCGGGGTGCAGACCTTGGGGATAAAGCAGCGGAGAAGGAAGTTGGAGCTGGTTACTTGCCTGCCAAATTGTGGTCACATTAAAAAATAAGAGTTTTCCACAACAGTCCACTGTGAACTTAGCTTACACTGTGCCCTTTGCCCTAGAAGATGCTATGGCCCCACTCCTGGGGAAAAGGCTGGTTTATTGAGCTCTAGGAGGTTGGGGTCAGAGTGGAAGAAAGGGGTATTAGAGCTTATCTTCGGGGTCTTTGCAGGCAGGCACGTGTAGACATGGCCGTTTCTCCTCCACCATCATCTTCTGCCCCTGCAGCTCCTCACACAGTGTTGCTGGTTTCCCCCAGAAGGTTAAGTTCTTCTCATCCTGCCCTTCCACGGTGGTTAAGGTGAGCCTGGGACATTGGGAAAGATGGAAGGGAGCAGCTCAGAAAAGGCAAGGATACATTCGGCAAACTGTGCTCAACCCTATTTGCTTTAGCTGTGAGATACTGGGTCATTTCTGTATCTGCGCTTGCCTGTTTCTCTCATCTGAAAAATGGCAATAATACCTACCTCACTGGGCTGAGCGGGGATAAATGAGCTCATTCTGGGAACATGCTCCAAGTGGTGGCTGGTACACAGCAAGTGCTGGTAATTGTTACCTGTTGACACCAGCTACCTTCTCTTACCTCCAAAACCCTTTATATCTCTCCCTACTGCCCACTGGAAAAAAAATCCAAGTGCCTTGCCCTGGCATTCGAGGCCTTGTTGAGCCCAAATTCCTGCCCCAAGTCAATCCCTCCCTTTCTCTTCCACTAAATCCAGACATGGGACTGGTCCCATGTCCAGAAGGCTCTTTGCCTGGATTATTTCTCCCACTAAGAAAGCCCTCTATTCACTTCCACCCTGACTCTTTCAATCAGTCCTTTCTTCATTCTTTCCCTCATCCACTCAACATCCCCAACATCTTCAGAATCTACTCTAAACTCCACAGCTGGAGATCACTCCCCAGATGGCAGCCCTTCGAGAGTTGGAAATAGTCCACTCAATCTCATAGCTTGACATATGTGGAAATAAGGAAGGGATGAGTGCTTTAACCCTCTCCAACACATGGGTCGCCCTGGCCACCTGGAGACACTTTGGGCAGCTGGCGCCTATATCCAGGATAGAATGCTGTTCCCAAGCTCGTCCCCCCAGGGATACCAGGTCCTCCTCCTGCATCCAGGCTGAGGCGGCAGTCAGTCCCCTTTCCATGCACCAACCATTCCTCATATGCCCTCAAGGCCTTGCGGACCTAGAACCCCTGGGGGGTCCATGGGATCTGTTGTGAGTCTGCATCTGTTGCCAAAAAGGGTTTAAAGTGCCCTGGGGCAGTGAGATGGGAAGTGAGACATGGACTCATCCATGGAGGCATGAAGGACTGAGGGACTGAGTGAGCAAATCAAAGCTGGGGTAACTGAGAGTGGAGCAGATGGTCACACAAAGGACTGAGGGAACAGGAGAACGGCTGAGGGAGCAAATGCATGACTGAGGGTACAGAGTCTAATTTTCCCCTCAGTATCTTCTTTCTCAGCTCCTTTCATCTCTCCCCTCTTCCTGCAGTGGAGCATTTTCAGCTCAGCAAGGCAGGCCCCTTAGACCCAGTGGTGGGAGCTCTGGTTGGAGGTAGCTGACTCCCCTGCCTTGACTGCTGACAGTGATATCATGACCCCCTCCTAGGCACACTGGCCCCACACTCACGAGAACTTGGGGAGTGGGGCTGTGCAGAGGCGCTGGCGGCTGCGGAGGGGGTTGGGTCCACATGGGGGCATGCACAACCCCCAGGTACTCCACTCTGTCCATGAGCCTTTCCCTGCAAGGAGAACGGGTTATAGACTTAGTCAGACTTAGAGGTCTCAGTGAGGTGGTGAAAGGCTGCAGGAACTTGGGGTGCACGGCAGAATAAGAAAACTGCTGTGCTGGTATGGGCTGGCCCTGGGGCACTCACAGCGGCAATGCTGGATATTGTAGCAGTTCCGGATATCCTGTTGTTGCCCAGTACATCGCTGTCCATCAAACTTGCGGCCCTTGCAGCTCCTGGAGCGAGACTGTTGGCCCTGGATTTCTTGACAGCTGATGTGTTTCATGCCTGGGCGGGTACAGGTGCTCCACTGCCCCCAAGGCCCCCACTCTCCATCCACTGCAGAGACACAGGCAACAGGGACTCACACCAAGGCAGGGAGCCAGTGTGGGGGCTCAGAAGAATGAATGAGGAGCGGGGAGGAGGTGGGAGTGATCAGATGAGAGAGTGGGGGATCAGGGGCAGAACCAAGGCATCAGGGCCAGGAATGGACAGATGAGAGTCAGGAACAAGGCAATGGCAGCAGAATGGGATAGAGGAGAACAAGGGAGCTCAGGTAGGAAATGGTGCATCTGGAGGTTCTGACCAGGGCAGGACATGGTTGTGTTGCAGAGGTGAGTCCGGGTGGCAGCACCAGCACATAAGGGGCCCCCATGCTGGGGCACAGGGTGATCACACTTTCGTTGTTCCATGGTCTGGCCCAAGCCGCAGGTCACAGAGCAGGGGCTCATGGGACTCCATTTTCCCCAGCCCCCAGCCACTGTTGGGGAGGGGAAAGGAATTAGGAGAAAGGTCACCTTGATCCTCACCCTCAGCCCCTAGAGCTCCACATTCGCAGGGCAGAGAATTTGTGCTCAGATCAAGAGCTGCATGTCAGAGGTCTCATTTCTGCATACCTGGGCAGGGCGGCAGGCCGCTGCAGACTCGCTGCTCATAGGCTGATCCTACGCAGGGGTTCCCAGGAGGCTCCCTGGACGGCTCCGGTGCAGAACAGGTGCGGCTCCGCCTCTCCATAGGCACCTGGGGTCCACTGTGGCAGGAGCCCGAGCAGGGGCCCCAGGGACCCCAAGCAGCCCAGGCCCCGTGTACTGTGGTGGGGTGGGGGTATGCCAAGTGTGGGCACGTGTGTCAAAGTCCTCCCATCCTGACAGTTCCCTGCTGTAAACCCCCAGCACCACCCTGGGCACCTACATCAGTGTCCCATGGCTGCCCTCACTCACTCGGGCAGGGCTTCTTGGTGTCACAGGCCTCTGACTCATGTGCTTCTCCTGGGCAGTGTCCCCCACATTTGGGGGTGGGGCGATCACATGTTCGACGTCGGGTTCGGGTCCCTTTGGAGCAGGTGACAGAGCAAGGGGCCCAGGGCCCCCAGTCAGACCAACCGCCCATTTCTGTGGGGGGAAAGAGGGACACGGGATGGAGGTGTGGGAGTCACTGGGGTCCCAGTCTGCTCATTTCCTTCACGTCAGTTCATCCTGTCCTCCGCCACACCTGGTTCACCATCACTGCTCATCTGGACTATTGCTTCCCCCCTCACACATAGTCCGTCGTCCTGACAGGGAGAGGGAGCTGATAGAACTTGAGTCGGATTATGTTCCTCCTCTGGCCGCAAACTGATCACCATGGCCCATGAGGACCGGCCCCCTCTGATCTCATTTCCCACCACCCTCCTCTGGCCACACCAGCTTCCTCCTTAGCACCTCATAAACATCAGGCACAATCCCACCCTCTGGGCCTCTGCCCTGACTGCTCCCAGTGCTAGATGATGGGCAGCCCTTGCCCGCTGTGCTGATCTTCCTCACCAGGACAACATGGCTGGTCCTCACAGGCCTGAAGCTGCCACTCGAGAGTCCCAGGCTCCACCTTTTCAGGGCACTGCCCACCCCAGCCTATGCAGCGCCGGTGCCGCAGCTGGGAGCCCTCGGTGCAGGTCACTGAGCAGGGGGCCCACGCAGACCACAATGACCACCGTGGAGATCTGCAGAGAGGAACGCATTGTGTCCCATCCCAGTGAGAGCTGGCGAGATGGTGCATGGGACAGCAAGGTGTGGGCAGGTATGCAGGGCTGCTGGATAAGTGTGTGTGGAATGGATTGATGATACCTGTTCCTAGGGGTACTGGAGGATTGAATGGGAAGAGGTGGGCATGCAGTAAGTGTAATAAATGTCATTTACCTTTATGATGTGGAGTTACCCTTTGAAGACCCCAAGGACATTGCCAGGCACACAAATGTGAAGAGTAGGAGCTCAGAACAGCTGTTAGATACCCACCAGGCCACTGCAGTACACAGTAGCAGGCAAACAGAAAGTGCTTTATAAATAGAAGCCATCATCCCAATGTGCTCAGAGACCTCCTCAGAAATACCCCAGATGCCAGATCTACCCCCAACCTCTACATAGCATAATGCTATGGAGGTGAACTGCTAACACGGACAGGGGCCCCTCCCTATGATGTATCTGGGATACACAGCAAAGCAGTTAGAAAATATATCACGTATAGAGAGTGGGGCTCAGTACATGTAAAGTGGCATCACGATGAAGAGACTAGCGCTCCCCTCGGAAGTCCTTAGCTGGCCCTCACCCCTGTGATGCATCTGCTATGCTGGAAGTGCCCAATGGATATGAAGTGTTATCAGTATTAGGGGTCTGGAGCTGCCCTCAGAATTCCCCAAATTCTCCCACCCCACAATGTGTGTACACAGTAAGCACACAATAGAAATACCTGTGCTGCAAGCCACCCACAGTGCTTGATAAAGAGGAAGTGTTCTATCTCTGGTTTCAACTTGGTGGGGGGGGGGCATTTTATCCTGCAGGGTGCATGTGGTAATGTCTGCAGGTATTTTTCCTGTGGCAACTGGAAAGGGCGGGGGGGGGAGGTTTGGAGGGAGTTGCTACAAGCATCTAATGGGAAGCCAGGGATGCCACAACACATCTTGCAATGTACAGGTTAGCCTCCCCACAATGAAGAATTTTCTGGCCCCAAATGTCAATAAATTTGAGGCTGAGAAGCCCTGAGCTACAGTCATGACCAGGGCCTTGGAGCCCCCCCTGGGAATTCACAGAGAAGGAAAGAGCCCAGTGCCGGGTAGCCTTATAGACAGTCCCTTTTGCCTCCCCCCAAGCCCAGGCTCCTCCTAACCTGCATGTGTGGCAGAGCTTGCTGCCGGGCTCCTGGAAGGCATAGGCAGTGTTGAGACAGCAGTCTTCAACACGGATGTTTTCCCCCAGGAGGCCCTTGCACTCGCCCGAGGATTCCTCATACTGGGTGAAGCAATGTACAGGACCCAAACCTGTAACAGGGCAAGGGGTACATGGTTAGGGATGTAGTAGATCCGGGGGTCAGCAGGGCCCTCACTCACTCACCTGTGGCTGGTAGCGTGAGCAGCAGCAGGAGCAGCAGTGGCAGCAGTAGCAACCCCAGGACGTGCGCTCCGGCGGGCATGTTGAGCACTGCGCCCCTGCAGCCTGCCTGGCTTTATGTGGTCTGACCTGCACCGGAATCAGTGGGAAAGAGGAACCAGGGGCAGGAGGAACTGGGAGGCTGAAGGGCAGGCAGCAAGGGGGAGGGGAGGGCACCGTGCAGGTCTCTTCAGCTCACACCTCTGCCGTCACCTCTTCTCCTGAGCCGCCTCCTCCCCTCCCTACTTCCCTGCTCACTCTTGGTCCCGTTTTGTTTGTCACTGTATCCCCAGTACCCTGCGCTCTGCTCAGCATCTCTTCAGCACTCAGTCAATGCTCCTTGGACAAATCTTACTGAGGGAAAATGGAGCAGAGGCGTTTGGAGCAAGACGGACTTCCTGGCTGACCTCGGGCAAATCACTTCCAACCTCTCTGAGCCTTAGTTTCTCCACCTGTAAAATGCATAACCTCTACCACAGGGACAGGGTGAAGCTCGTGGGGGTTTTGAACAAGGGTGGAGTGAGTGTGGCGTGTTCCCCCTCATGGGGTGGAGCAGGCATTGAAGTAGTTGCTTCATTTTCTATTCTGACCTAACTGCTGTCCTCTTTCCTGAAAGTGAGGTTCTCTGCGGTCAGCATGTGGAGGGAAAGGCAGCACAGGGAAGTGAGAAGGGGAAGTGACAAGAGTGTGGGGAAGATTGGGTGAATTGGGGTTACCCACTGTCCTGCCCCAGCTGGAGATATCTTCAGGGCCCTGCCAGGGTGGGTTGGCCAGGAAACCACTCGGTGATATTTCATCAGAGTCACTTGGGGAGATGACACCTCCCCCCCTGAGCCTACATCACAGTGCTTGTTGGGAAGATTGAGAGCTAAACTTTTAAAAAAGTCTCTAGTGCAGTGCCTGGCATGAAGTAGATGCTCTGTGTCTGTTAAATACATTTATTCAACATTTACTGAGCACCTATAGGTGCCAGAATCTCTTCTTGGCATTGGGTGGAACAGAGAACAAGACAATCCCAAATCCTGGCCCTTAAGGAACTTATGATCTAAAACAGGAGACAGATGAGTGGCATCTCCCTAACAGAGGCATTCCCCAGCCATTCTTTTGGATGGGGTCCCATCACCCAGCGGCTCTCAAACCTCAGTGTGTATCAGAATCATCTGGGAGGTTAGTTACATCAAGGGTTCCTAGGCTCCACCCATTTCTGATTCTGTGAGTCTCAGGTGGGGCTCAAGAACATGCACTTCTAACAAGCTCCCAGGAAATCGCCCAGATGCCGCTGGCCAGGGACCACCCTTTAAGAAAGGGTCCTTCTAGTCCCTGATCTCGCTTTACTTTTCTTTGGGGGTCTCACCTGGAAAAACGTTTTCATGTATTCCTTATTTTACTGTTTTTTTTTTTAAAGATTTATTTATTTATGCATACAAGAACTGGGGTACAGGCCAGAAGTGTTGGGGAGGGGTGAGAGGATTCACCAGAGACAGAGCAGGGAACAGAACAGGCAGTCTGACTGAACTACACTGCTGAGGGCAGCAGTGGGCGAGCCAGGAGAGGTCTGCTGTGCCATGTGGGTTGCGCCCTGGCCAGGGATTGAACTTGTGCTTGCAGTGACTGCGGACAGCTTCATAGGTTGCGTCCTAACCCCTTGCGCCACCAGGGAGGCCCGATCCTTATTTTACTCTTAATTCAGCCCATTTTCCATGCAGTTAAAACTGAGCTCTGCAGACCTATTTTCTTTTAATAAGCCCTAATGAGTGAAATTCCAGAGCCTGTTTTAAAAGCAGAAATCGTTGTAATTAACAAGAAGGAGCCTATAAAAGATAGGGAGACAATTCCCCTAAATTCATGGAGGGAGAAATAACATCCTGCAAATTAAAACAAGACCAAAGAGTTTGATTTGGTCAGGTGTTAAAACAACTTTCCCAAGAACACTGGTCTTGTTTTATTGATGATAAAGTGTGTTGACATTGGTGTTCATTACAGATGTATTTGGTTTCCCGATAATATAAGCCTGTTTTTGAGAGTGTGCTTTGAACAAAGAGGTCTTGTTGATTCTAAGACTTCAAATACCAGCATTGTGTTATCTTGTGAAAATGAACTTCCCAAGAAATCTGTAATTCTAGTTGGCTGCTTTATCTAATCACCTGTTGCCCTGGTAATAATGTTATCATTGATATTTTCTTTGTTCCTAAATTGTATAAATACTCATTGGATTCCCTGTGGAAGAGGATTGTGTTCCCTTTCTCCCACACATTTGGGCAATAAAATGACTCTGCAGATTTCTTATTTAAACAAAGACCAGGAGAGTCTTGTCTCATTTAATGGTGCTGCTGCCATCTGATACAATGCATTTGTCTGTCTGTTGACCGCTGCCCTCCCTAAAACACCAGTTCCATGAGGGCAGGGATTTTTGTCTGGTTTGTTAACTGCCATGTTGGCAGGGTGTAGCTGGGCACCAGCAAACAGTAAGTGCTTGGTAGAGATGTGCTGAGTGAATAAGTAAAATTAACAAAACTTTAGAGATTCTGGTAAGGGCCAAAAGGAACAGTCTGGGTGGGAGGTAAAAATATGGGCATCACTGTGGCGAGGTGGGGGATAATCAATGTCTTAAAGAGGGAAGGAGCCTAAGGCAAAGTTCAGGGGAACTCCAACATTTCAAGTTTTGGAGAACTGGGAAAAGCCAGACCTGGGGACCAAGGAGGAAGGGCCTATGGGGAGGAAGAGGACAAAAGGAAGAGGACTTTCCCCCTAGGCCGGGCATAGTTGATCTGTGGTCTCTCATTTGGTCTCAATGTCGCGTTTCTTTCACAAAGTTACATACACAGCTCTGGATTTACAGCCTCTGTGATTATCTCTTACCAAGAGGCTCACATACATACTGGCAACAGTCTCGCAGACATTTCTCCATCACTCACTCGGAGTATTTTCTCTGCCATTGACTCCTGGCCTTACCACAGGCTCCTACTAACAGTTTCACACTCGTAATCATGTCTTAGAGCCTGCTTCATTCAGCAAATATCACCAGTATTTACTCTCACCAGCATTTTTCACATACACACAGTCACACCCTTTGATGTTTCAATCACTCAGTCAGGCCACCATTTTCTCACAGGCTCCAATAGTCCCTGAGTTAAAGGCACCACTAACTAATCTCTCATGAAGTTTACCACACACACAAAATCACCATCTCTCCTACCTCTTCTCACTCCAGCCCCCATTTCACACACCCACAGTCCCTGGTTATAGCTTCACACTCATGCACAGCCACATAAGTACCTCAGACACTGCCATAGACACCTAATCTCACAGTTCTTCTCAAGTGGCTTCCAACATAGCTGCTCCTTGATGTGCAAACTTTAAGAAAGTGTATTGCAAAGAGTTTTACACATACCCACACGATACATTTCTCAGACACGTGGTCAGTCACCCATGCACGGTCACCATCATTTTTATCTCAGTCATCTTCTGTCATTCACAGTCATTCATTCACAACTGCTACTAGGCGCTTAATAAGCTCCACACATTATGTCTCACAGCCCATCTCAGTTGTCCACACCATTATTTTCTTCACACAGTTTATCAAAAATGATTACAGCCTTGTTGATTTCTTGCACACACTGACACATATTCTCACACTCTCTCACAAAAATAAGAATCTGATGTAGTCTCCAGTGAAATGTTCTGCAGACCCACATACTCACACAGTGCTCAGTGGTCCATTCTCTCTCACACAGCTGACTTTGTTATTGGTATAATAGTCTTTCACTCACAGTTACCTGACCTCTAAAACTGTTTCAGTCACTCTCACCATCGTTTCTCTCATACTTTCATAATCCCTGAACCTGGGGGCTAGACTGTAGTAGTGACTGAAAATCAACATGCTGCTAGCCTCAGGCACACATACACAATTACAGCCTCTCCTATCCTTCCAGTCAAAGCCTTTTTTCCTAATCATTACTAGTCTCCCATGAACACTTTTTCACACAATCATGTGTCTTGTCTCAGTCACCCATTTGGCCTCACAGCCCCGTGCTCTCAATCAACTTCTCACATATACACACCCATCACCTTTGTTGATACAACAGCCTGACATGAAATTTCATGATTCCAGCAGTCACCTGTTTACATATAGTGATGTTTCTCACCTCCACACGGTCCTTAACAATCTCTACCACACTTTCATGTCCATGGAGGCTCTCACATGTTATTTTTGGTCATTCAGTTGTTTTGCTCATTCTCAGTCTGTCAAGCAGAGACTGATGTGCCGTCCCTAATGCCTTCCCATAAACATGATTTCAAACACATGCCACCATTTTCTTATCGGTACCTTAATCACTCATTCAGCCCTCCAGTGATTTTCTGACATAAGAGTCGCAATTTCTCACACAGACACAATGTCAAGTTTGTCAACTTCCACTTTCTCACACTCAGTATCATACACCTTCACACAATCACAGCTTCCCACAGTTTCTCTCTTTTACACACCTGGCTACCAATGTGCAGTGTCTACTACTGTTTCTTAGACACGCCATCATGTTCTCTTTCACAATCATTTTCACACCCTCACCCCCTTTCACACACAGCTATGCCTATTACACTCAGTCCCAACAGCTTCGGGGAAAAAATGCTAGCAGCCTCTAGTATCACCTTTAAAAATATATATTTACAGGAACAATTCCCCATTCTTGGGGACTCTTAGAAAAAAAAGATCCATATTTAGGGGAAGTGAAACAAACAGTGGAGACAGGTGTAGCACCGTCCCCCAAATCACCAACCCCCAGGTCCCCAGGCCCAGGTCGGGCCAGTGCTGACAGGAGGGCAGCCCAGGCGTCCTGTGAACCCACCCACTCCAGCCTGGAATTCAGACAGGACAGGCGCTTTAATGTCCCCCTTTCCTCCCTCCCAACTCCAGGGACACTTAGAGGGTCCTTTGTACCCGCCCGCAGGAAATTGGGGGGCTGGGAGGGAGCTGAAAATACACGTTTGGTATCAAAAATAAACACATGGGGGTGGCAGGAAGATCCCCCCAATCCCTTCCTTCCCACCCACCCCATCTCAGATATAGGAAGAGATGTCCTCTCCCTTGGTGAAAAGTCCCATTTAAAAATAGATTATACTATCAAAATGGCAGGGAGTGGGGGACAGGGAGACCTGGAGTACTGGCTGGAGAGGCCCCCCAGACGGGGACCACTCCCCCAAAAAACCCTCCATTGGGAGGTAACAGGCAGGACCCCAGGAGTTTGGCAGACACAGGAATGGCTTCTCAGGGGGAGACGAACAAAAGGGGCATTCCTCCCCGGCCAAGAGGTGTTTGAAAAAGGACAAGCTGTCTGAGAAAGGCTCAGGAGGTGGAAGCGCCTATTCCAAGGGTGTGAGTCATCCTTGGCCAAGACTCCCAAACCGTTAAACAGCACAAACTCTTCCTGGACCCTTGGGTACGGCCAGGAATAATAAACTACAACAAGCTAGCTCTTCTACTCACACCCAGAAACGGAGACAGGGCTCCCTCAGCTCCCCAGGGGCAGGCTGAGAAATAAATAAAGAAAGGTCCTTCTCAAGCCAGACCCCGATTGTCTCATCTTGGGGGAAATGTGTGGAGATGGGGGAGATGCCCTCACCAACCCCCTGAAAGGGTTGGGCCAGGTTCCTCCCAGTGGCCTTCAAAAAATAAATAAACCATCCCCACCACTGGAGTAGGGACGTGTAAGGGCGGCCACCAGGGGACTGACAAAGAGAGAAGTTGTGTTTTTCGGTGGAAGGGTTATTGAGAGAACCTTTTCCCTAAGAATCCCCACTCCACCACGACCACAGAACGAGTCTGTCGGATGAACTATGTATCTCCTTGATACGGCTGGCTGGAGAGAAGTTCAAGGCATGGATGGAGTAACCCAGGAAAGGGGTGGTGGTGGTGGTGGTAGTCATGGCTTCTGGGGCCCTGGGGAGAGCACCACGGGGGTGGAGAGGCATCCACGCTGATGGAAGGGATGTGCACCTGGGCGCTGCCACTGGATGGAAACTGGGGACAGAAATAGGGAGAGGTCATGGATGGGGCCAGTCAGGGTCTTGTACCCAGTCCAGGATGTGGGGAGGGGATCCTACCTGAAAGGAGAGCTTGGCCGGGCTACGGGGTGCAATGGGACTCAGGGTGCTCCAGAAGTGGATGCTGGAGGGCAGCGAGCTGGGTGTCAGCAGCACCGGGGTCTGCAGGAAAAAGGTGATTAAAGCTCCCGTGAACAGAGGGAAGGTGAGGGAAAAGAGAAGGAACTTGGATCCAGCTCCAGCAGCCTTCCCATTCAGACTTCTGAGGTCACTGCCCCGAAGTGCACAGACGTAGACCGTGACTAGTAAGACATGCCGGTGGCATCTCTCCAACTTTACACAGACACCATGTCCCCAGTCCTGAGAGCCCACCCCTCAGCCTCAATGGGCAAGACCACCCACAAGACCCTATCCACACGCTGGTTTCACACCTCACAAGTCACCACGCCAACACAAGTCACCATGTCAACCTCAGGTTCTTACAGCAGACCCTGCAAATCTCCCAGAAAATCCCAGACCAAAAACCCCTGCCCATGCTCCTCATGCCATGCCCCAACTCAGTTTCCAAGAAAACTCAGGGGGCGGGGAAGGCCTCAGACCCCACCTAGAAAACTCCCGGCCCTGTCCTTCATTTGGACCATGGTCCTGGGGCTTGGAGACTCGCCAGCCCTTCACTAAAGCACCCCTGGCCCTTCAACCTGGCCTCGGCACAGCCAATGCCACTCCCAGGCACCACCCTCCCACTCAGACAACCGCATTGGCCCTCGTGGCGTAACTCCTCCCACTCGCGCCGTGCCAATCCCACTAGTCCCGGCTGCCAGCCCCGCCCCTCTGCCTGCACTCACCAATGTATGCGTAGGTAGCAAGGATGGCGTCAGCGCTGGCCCAGGAGCCTGCAGACCAGAGCCGGCTCCCGATCCTGGAGTCCGCTCGGGTCCCGGCCCACCCAGCAGGCTCGGGCTGAGTGGAAGCTCCAGATCCCGGGGCTTCCGGCCCTTCTGAGGTTGAGCGATCTCCGTGCTGGAAGGTGCGGAAGCAGGGAGGCCGCCCACCTGCGCAGCTGTCTCCATGATGACCGCGGGCAGCCGGGCTGGTACGCCCTCTGCAGGAGGGACTTCAGCGCCGGCCTTAGGGGCTTCCGGCCCAAACCCCATCTCGGCACTGGATGCGGCTTCCAACTCCTCTTTGGGCCGGTCCACTTTCACTTCTGGGGGCAGTGGCCTGCCCAACCCCGGCTCCGCACTCAGCTCTTCTGATTTAAGGTTTGGGGCCTCGGGTGGGGTCAGGATGACCTTGGAAAGGATTGGGTGCATAAAGATTGCCACGGGAGCCAAGCCAATGATTTCCCTTAGAAAGGTGATCTTAGTGCTGGGGACATGACTGCACACTGGGACTGGTGCTCCAACAGAACAAGGGAGCTCCAACTCGCCAATGAAGGGGGACCTCTTCTGGGGCAGCTTCTCCTAGCTGGGGGTAGGGCTGCCCCTAGGGCTGGGACTCCTTGGGATACCTCCCTCGTTTACTAAAGCAGTGGTTCTCAAAAATCTGCCTTAGAGATCAGCAGCATCTGCCTCGTCAGGAGACTAGTTAAAAATGCCAATTCTCTGGCCCATCCCCAGACCCACACAATCAGAAACTTTGGGTTTTTTTTTAAACAAGCCCTCCAAGTAATTCTGATGAGTGCTAAAGTGTGAGGACCAGTGCATTAAACAAATACGTTCAGGGCACCTAGTACATGATGAGGGTACAAGGAATCATAGCACGTATCTCCTGCCTTCTCAGTGCAAGCCCAGCTCTCCTCCCCATCCCCTTCTCCAAGGGGACTTCAGTGTCCTTCCTTCTGCCACACTCCCTTTAATAGGACATTTATGTCCCTTCTACCGCCCCATTCCTCATTTGGGAATTGCATACCCCTCCTCTTAATGATCTTCCATATTCCAGTCCTTACCTGAAGAGGCAGGCAGGCCTCCTCAGCCTCCAAGCAGGTCTCCAAGGGGCTGGGACTGGTGCTTCTGCTCCCCGAGGAGGGTACTCCTGTTCCTGCTGGGATGGTGTTGGGGAGCACTGAGACAGGCCGAGGGTGAGTGGGTGGCTGTGACTGTGGCTGCAGGGACTGGATGGTGAAGGTGGAATAGAGGCCTGAGCGCATGTACTCATTCCTGCTGCTGCGTGCCAAGCCACCTGGGCCTGCCATTCCCGCACCCTTGGGTGTGCCTGGCTTCCCAGAGGCAGTGTCCCCGGGGATAGCATGTATAGCAGTGGGGGCCACATTTGCCACAGTAGAGGTGATAGCCATCTCGGGTTGGGGCAGGCAGTCCTCAGTAGAGCACCCTGCGACCTCAGGGTAGGACACAAACTTGTAGACAAACTTCTGGCCGCTCACTTTGCGAATGATGTTCTGGGAAGGACAGAGACAGGACAGAAGGGCTTAGAAGAAAGGGCCAGGGTGGAGGGAGGGTATAGATAGAGGTGGGTGGAGGGGTGTGTCTCCTGTGTCTTTCTTCCCACCTACCCCTTTCCTGTCTTCTTACATAGCCACTCCTCTCCACCTCCTCACATATTCCCCCTCCCAGCCCATTTCACATCTTACCCATCTCTTTCTCAATTTGGGGGCTCCTCCCTTTTCCTCCTGCAGCTTCTACTTCTTTTTCCCCATCCAGATGCCTCGCTATTGTTTTCCAGTTTCTCCTCCACAATTCTTCCTTTAGTCTACTGCCCTTCCTCTCCTTCCCATCCATTACCCTCCAAGTCTCCCTCCCTCCCCCCTTGGCCCCACTCTACAATGGCACCCCTCTAGGAGAGTTGGTATAGGGGTAGGCTTTCCTCCTTGTTCCAGGAACTAGGGGTATCTGTGGGTTAATGGGGCAGGCCCTGGGGATGGCTGCCAGGACATGGTAAGACAGGAAAATAAAATCATTAATATAAATGTTGAAAGAAACTAAATTAATGTAGAAGAATGTGGTTACAAATTATTAATACAGAGGATCATTTAAAGCTATTGACAATGGTGTGGAACAGGACAAGGTCACGAAGGAGGACAGGATGAGGAATCTCATTCTTGACACTGTTATGGATGTTTAAGCTATGGTGGCTAGCAAACAAAGTAACTGAGAATAACTACACAAAAACATTAAATCACTGGTATAAATATCGGGGGGATAATCTTCAAGTTGGCTTTGGTGGGTCACAGATCATGTCTGGGGTATTTTGAGGGTAGGTCTGGAGGGTGTCAGGAATGTTGTGTGGTCTCAGAACACCAAGTGATACCACTGTTTTGGCTATTTGAGCTATAGGTATCAAATATGAAAATGGAATAGATGCTACAAATGATTGGGGGTGCACAGCATAGACCTAAGGCTGTTCTGGGGGACGAGAGGCATCAGAGGATACGAGGACACCCTGGGGACATCTGTAATGATGATTAGGTGTGTCAGGACTGAAAAGGAATTAATGAATATTGTTTTGGAAGTTTTAGGTAAATAAGTTTAAAAAAGAAGAACTGCTATAAATATCGGGGGTAGAGCGAGAATATCCAGTGTTGGAGTCTGAGAGGGTAAGATGAGGATCATTGTAAGTTTTAGCTGTAGAAGAAGATGGCAAAATAATTGATTTAAAGAATGGAGTGGACCAGTGTTGCCTGGAGAATCCAAGAGGAAAGGGTGAGGAGCTTGCATGATACATGTCATTTGGGAGGATTTAGCTAAAGTAATGAGAGAAGAAAAGAACTGATAAAAATGTTGAGGGTCCCAAAGGAGGAGGTAAGGAAAGGTTAGTAAAATGTCGTCATAGAGGTCTGGATATTAGGAATAAGAGTCTTTTGGAATCTTCATTCTTAAAACTGTTATGGGTGTTTAAGCTCAGGCAACTAGCTGTAATAAGAGCAGATTATTAAATAACTGGGGGCACCCAGAATGGGCCCAGGGGTTGTAGAGGAGGAAGAATCATTATTAATAGTGTTTTTAAAAGTTTTAGTTATAGGAATAAAGAAAATGAAATTTTATGTTGGGGAGGGGCAATGGGACAGTATGACTTTTGGAATCTCAGAAAGGGGGGTGAGGGTGGGTCCGTATTTAATATTGCTATGAAGGTTTTGGCCAGCACAGTAGGACCAAGAAATGAAATGACTGAGCTAGATGGGAAATGGTGTGTGTGGGGTGGGGGCAACAATGGACTCAGAGTCCCACAGGGTGGGGGAAGGATACGAAGTGGCCAATCTGAGTATGGTTTTCAAAGTTAAAGCCATTCAGACAATAAAATGAAATAACTGCCATCGATGTCCAGGTGCCCAGCCCTGACAACTTACCTTGTCGTAGTAGTAGCGCAAAGCCCGGCTAAGCTTGTCGTAATTCATGTTGGTCTTGTTTTTGCGCAGCCCCCACAGCCGGGCGACCTCCTCGGCATCCACCAGCTTGAACTCACCACCATCCCGTGAAGTCCAAGAGATGATGTGGCCATTGCCTTGCTCTCTCAGCAGCTGCAGCAGAAACTGCCACAGCGTCACAGAGGGGTCCATCGCTGGGGAAGCACTCACGCCATCCCAGGGGTACCTGGAGGGCAGAGGCTCAGAGCTGAGAGGCTGTGGACACATGAAGGGGCAGAGGTCAGCAGGAAGAGGATTTCTTTCTTGCCACCTTGCTCCCACCTCTGTTCCGGAACCCCACCTTCATTCCCTAAACACCCTCAGGCTAAATTCTAAGCTCCTCTGCTGGCCTTTGGATGACCTGTCATGGAATGAAACTTTTGGGACCCGAGGGTAGTTGTGAATTTTTTTGCATGTGGAACAAACATGACTCTTTTGGGAGACTGAGGGCAGACTGTAGTACACACAATAATCTCCCCTCCCTCCCCACAAAGGTGTCCACATCCTAACCTGTGGAACCTGGGAGTATATTATATAACATGGCAAAAGGAACTTTGCAGATGAATTTAAGATTACGGACCTCAAGATAAGGAGAGTATTCTGATCCAATCACACGAACAGGCACAGGAACCCTTAATAAATCAGGAGACAGGAAGGTAGCTCAGCAAGATACGTTGACGGGAGAGGCAACAGAGGGTAAAAGCATGGGAGGGACTTGCCCTGCCAATGCTGCTTTGAAAGTGGAAGGGGGCTCTGAGCCTAGGAATGTGGTGACCTCATAAAGCTGGGAATGGCCCTCAGCAGCCAGCCAGTGAGAAACTTTACTACTACCTCAAGGAAGTAAATTCTGCCAACAATCAGGAAACCCATCTTCCCCTGGAGCCTCTAGGAAGGAATGCAGCCCTGTGGACACCAGATTTCAGCCTGGTGAGACCTAGGTTAGACTTGTGGCCTATAGAACTCTGAGATAATAAATCTGTGTTTTCAAGCAGCTAAGTTTGGAATAATTTGTTACAGCAGGTATAGAAAACTACCATAATGGTCCACATCAAACATCAAGTTTTCCAGGAGGTTCCATCTGCTGGCCCCTTGCAAAGGCTGTTCACTCCATGTGGGGTTTCCTTGCTCATAGTTTGAGTCCCAGCCCAAGGGGCCTTGCCTTTGGGATGCCTTTCTGCAACTAGATGCCTCCTCTTGTCTGTCCTCTACCCCACACTCTTCGCACCTATTTCTGTCTCTATATGTCCTCCTTCTTGGTAACAGTAATAACATTTACTGAGCGCTTAGTCCCTGCCAGGTGCTATTCCAATTAGATGCATATGGTACAGTGGCCCAGGCTCTGGAGCCCACCTGCCAGGGTTGGAATCCTTGGAACCCGGGTTCTGCTACTTTATATGCTGGGCACATTCTTTAACCTCTCTGTGCCTCCTTTTTTCCATCTGTAAATAAGATTAAGAATACCATCTCGTTCAGAAGGTTGTTACATGGATTAAATACACCAGGGGCACTAGTTTCTGATTTGCTTGTAATTCCTTATCTGCTATTCCCAAACCCTAAAAGCTCTAAAGGCAGGAGGTTTCTCTGTAACCCTTTGGACAGCAAAACCTGATCTGGAATGAAACAAGGCCCTTTCTGATTTTTACTGATCCTCACTTAGCATGACTGTTAATACATTTTGCTGCAGAAATCTGAATGTGGCTGATTATGAAGCCCACTAAGGGTGTTATGTAACACCTTCTGTGCACCTTGTTATCATTCTAAACTCTGAAAAATTCGAGATTCTGAAACACATCTGGCTCCAAGGGTTTTGGATGAGGGCATGAAGACTTGTACTGTTCTTCTTTACAGGCATTGATTCACTCATTCCTCAGCCCAACTCTGAAGAGCAAGGTATTCTTAATATTGCTGATTTGCAAAGGAGGAAGTGGAGGCTCAGGTCTACGTGATGTCTACAGGCCACCCTGCTCTGAGGCAGAGCCAGGATTTGGACCCAGGCAATTGGGCTCCAGTTGTTTTAGCTTCTAATCTTACATGAAGCAAAACGGGGCCTTTACTGCTCCCTCAGCATGTCCCACAGAGGACAGGACCTTCCCTGTCCTCAGAACTGCTCTCTTTCCTGAGAGTGCATTGGAAATATACATGAATTTCCTGTTCCTTAACAAGCTTTCATCAATCAACTTCAGAGTGCTGGGATTGCTGGGTGGGGTTAAACATAAGACCTTCTAAATCAGAAGGTTTCAAAGAACCTCCCTCTGTCATTTGCAGCTTGATTCTTTCATCTGTAATGAAATATACAGTGTGTTCCTCTTCTGTCTGGGCTGTTCTGAAGTTCACTCAGCAGACCCAATTTTAGGCAATTATACAAGGCACAAAGCCATGAAGCATCCAGATCAGAGTGTCTGGTCATCGGAGACTTCATTGAGCTTATTGTGATGGTCTGCTTGTACCACAGGCGCAACGAGCTCAGTGTGACTCCTGGTGGAGAGGACAGGCAATTTTACCAGTTCCTCTTTCGGCTGCAAGAGAACCTACCAGTGAAGGTACAATCTTAACGATCTGCTTCAGGTCTCAACAGCACACAGTTCTTGTATTTTGCTTATTATCGTACGTCCCATGTAACCCCCAATAAGAATTCTAGTAATCATCCTTCCTCAGACCTGTGTTTATATGTCTCACCTCATTCACTTAGGAAGCATTTATCGAGCGTCACCTGTGGGCCAGTACTGGACATATAGTAATGCGCAAAACAGACCCAAAAAAGCCCTGCCCTGGTGGAAAACACATCTTAGTGGGGGAGACAGACCAGAAACAAGGTAAGCAAGTAGAGAATATATCAAATGGTGATAAGAGCTACGGACAAAAATGAAGCAGAGTAGTAGGAATTGTGATTTGTGAGGGGTAGTCGAGGAGGTAGTCACCGATGAGGTGACATGTGAGCAAAGACCTAAAAGAGGTGAGGGAGTCGGGCAGTGACCACCAGGCAGAAGAAACAGACAGCAGGACAGGCCCTGAGACTGGACACTGCCAGGAAAGTCAGAGGAAGAGAAAGGAGTGCAGTGAGGTTGGAGAGGAGGGAGCAGGACATGGAGCGGAGTGGCAAAGGGGGCCAGACCAAGTGAGACATTATGGGCCCTGTAAGGACTTCCATTTTGACTCTGGGTGAGACCGGACCCACGAGAGGGTTGTAAACAGAGAAGGTGATTTTAACAGGATCATTCTGGCTATTGTGAGAACTGACTGGAGGAGCTGAAGAGGCTACTGGAATAGTCCGAGTGAGAGATGGTGGTGGTAGCAGCAGAACTGGTAGAAATGGCTGAGTTCTGGATAAGATCTGAAGACAGAGCAAAAAGGATTTGCTGATAGATAGCATTGTGGGTGAGAGAGGCATCAGGGGTGATTCTAGGTTTGTGGCCTGGTCACCTGGAATGTGGGAACTTGGATCAAATCAGATGGGAGGGCAGGTTTGTAGAGGAGATCAGCAGGTCACGTTTGGAGATGGTTGGTCTTAGAGGCTTGTTAGATACCTATGCATATGTGATGAGTAATAATATTAACTTGAAAAACACAAACCCGTCATACAACCCTGACTGTGCTACACCATTTTCACCAATTAACTCATTTAATCCTCAAACTAACACTACGGGTTGTAGGAATTATTATTACCTCTCATTTTCCAGATGAGGAATGGAGGCAGAGAGGTTAACTCACTTACCAAAGGTCACACAGATGGAAGTCGGCAGAGCTGGGGTTCAAACCCAGGTAGTATGACTCTGGTTAGCGATCCTAGCCACTTACAACACCAGCTCTTGATGAAGAAAAACAGAAGGGTAAGATCCTAGAGGGTGTCAGGGATGCTTTTCACACAGGGTAAGCAGGGAGGACTTCCCTAAGGAAGAGACATTTGAGCAGAGACCTGAGAAAGCCGCAGCAGCAACAAGGCATGCTGACATCTGTGGGAAGGGTGTTTCTGAGAGAGGGAACAGCATGTACAAAGACAAGCCTGGCATGCATACTACATCACAGGCAGCCCGAGTTCATCCAGTTCCCACCTCTGAGCATAGTAGGTGCCATTCTCCCTGCCAGGAGTGCCCTTCCCCCTTCTCACACCTGGTTGACCCCTTTATTACACAATCACCAAATTCCAGCATTTCTCGGGCAAAATTAATTCTTCCTTGGTGCGGTCCTATGTGCCCAATAACCCGTCTGTCCTTGCAAATCTGGTCTCTCTGGGTCTTCAGTCTCATACTCCTCTGCCCTGTTCTAGCTGTGTGACCTTGAGCAAGTTACTCAACCTCTCTGGGTCCGTTTCTATACCTGTAAAATGGAGATATTTACCCTCAAAATAAAATATCCTTAAAATATACCTACTCTCAGAAGCTTCTGTGAGGGCTAAATGTCAACATATGTAACTTAGATTAGTAGCTCAGGCACACATTAGACATTTAACAAATGCTAACATTAGCCAGTGTGTCATCCTTCTCCGTCCCTAAATCCCTCCCGTCCAACCTTCTGGATTCCCATAGTCTATACCATTTGGCTCCTCTCTCCTCTCTACTCCAGCCACACTGGCCTCTGTCACATTCCTTGGACATGTTAGGCATTATCTCATCTCAGGGCCTCTGTATCAACTGTTCCTTCTGCCTGCCTCCCACCCTGACCTCCTTCAGGCCTAAATTTGACACCTTCTAAGTAAGGCCTGTCCTGTGCCCAAGATTTCAACCACCCCCATGGTCTCTTCCTACTTACCCTGCTTTCATTTTCCTTCTTAGCATTTCTTTAAAACACTGATTTTACCTGTATTTCTATAGTCAATTGCCCTCACTTCTAGCAAGCATTTGTTCCATCATGGCAGGAATTTCTGCCTGTTTTGTGCCCTCCCATATGCCCTGCACCTAGAAGTGTGCCTGGTATTCAGCAGGTGCTCAGTAATTGCCTGCTGAATGAACAGTTACAACTAACTAGCCTTTTAACCAGCTCCCATACGCCCTCTTCATCTCCACCTGCCCAAGCCCCCCTTCGTCTAAAATGATAATGAGCCCACATTCATATTCATACAATCGATCTTACTGAGCAGCTACTATGAAAAAACTGTAAGCCCACATGGGACTCCAATTCTGATGGGGAGGCAGACAATAAATACAGAAACTGGTAATTATACCATGGGTCTGATAATGATAAAGGGCATAAGGGCAAATGAAACAGAGAGGGGCCCGAGCCCAGCAAGGTTGATATCTGGAAAGACCCCTGTAAAGATAGGGGGTAGAGTGTTGGCATAGAGAAAAGAGGCAGCACAGACACCTTGAGCAGGCTGAAACTCCTCTGGTGAATTTCAAGAGGGAGAATAGTGTGGCTGGAACAGAGTTGAGGTGGGGGGTGTAGCAGGTTGCTGTTTTATTACTAAGTCACAGGTATTCTTTATTTATGCTGCAGAGATTCTAGTTCTGACCCCCCCCCCAATTTTACAAATGAGGAAACGGGCAAAAAGTGGTTAAATCATTAATCGAAGGCCACAGAGCTGCAAGGACTGAGGATGGATGGCTGCGAGACAAGGTGTGGACTGGAGACAGCTCCGCAGGCAGAGGGCACAGGCCAAAAATGGCTTGGTGAAGGGAACTAATTTGTTTTTTTAAGAAGTAGGGTCTTGTGTGGAATGGGATGAGGTGAGAGGGGGGATAGTATCAAAAATAATTCTGTGTTCTGAGGGGTAACAGAAACTAAGCACCCACTGGGCCTCCTCTGAGTGTTTAACTTCCCTATGTCAGTTTCCTCATAGGGCTATGCTGAGAAATTAAATGAACTCTTTATTAGAAAGCACTTTACCTGGTACCTAGTAGGTGCTCAATAAATGTTAGCTCCTAATGGTATTATCACCATTACTAATTAATTCATTTACTGCAGTGAGGCAGAATGTTTTAATTGTTAACAGTGTGTATGGAGGTGTATGTTCTAGAGTAAAAAACGAGCACGCAGGCTGGTCCGCTATTAAGAAAGGTGGTAGAGGCAGGGAAGGCCACAGACTAATCCACCACAAGGAAAAGAGGGGAAATAAATAAAAGCACACAGGCTGACCCTCCTGGAGAAGGGATTACAAAGCACCGACCAGACTTGAGAGCTTGAGGGGGTGGAGGGTGAACCCAAGTCCACAGGCAGTAAGAAGGCCAATGAGCAGATCTGCTGCAAAAGCAAGGTGGTGGTGAGGGAAGGGGCAAGAAAACCCCATTGACTCTTACACAACAGTGGAGGCTGATTAAAAGGAGAGAGGGACAAGGCCATGGACTGGGCTACTGAAAATGGGGGGAAATAAAGCACTAAACTGACCCACTATTAAAAGGAAAGAAGCCCACGAAGTGGAGTGAATCTACCAAAAGGGAGGAGAGAGGGCAATGGACTTATAAGTAGGGGGATATGACTACAAGCATGCCGACAGATCCACTGTAAAATGGGGGTGTGTGTGTGTGCTAAAGCCAAGGACTGATGCGATGGGGGGTTTGGAGGAGGCAGAAATACAAATTCACAGATCAACTCACAATTATGGGGGGGGGTGAGCTCAACGCCGTGGATTGATTCACTAGAAGGAACAGGAGGGATGAAACAAACAAGATCACAGACAGGGTCCTGAAAGTTGAGGATGGAAGAGACACACTCAGACGCACCTACTGTCAAGGAGTTGGACAATGCCAGAGATTAGTCTCCAATAAGTGGGGGTGGGGGCAAGACCACGGACGAGTCTACTGTAAGGTCGGGGGAAATGTAATCACGCAGACCGATCCATTATAAAAAAAGGAGGGGGGATTAGGCCATGGTCAGTTCCACTACAAGGGGAGAAGGGAGGGGACAATGCCACTGGCAGGTCCACCACCCGTGGTGTGGCAGTGGGGAGTCGAACACCAGCAGGCCACCGGCCAAGCCACATCCCCCCGTGCGGGGGCGGGAAGGATACGTGGGGTCATGGACCCGGCCCTTTACCCTCCAAGCCCGGGCTCACCTGTGCGTAGCGCAGCGGCGGTGTTAGCAGCTCCGGGGGCGGGGGCTCCATGCGCGGCCCCACCGCCCCCCAGGCCTCGGCTCCGAGGCGGCGGTGGCGGCGGTGGCGGCAGCAGCAGCGGCAGCGGCGGTAGCACCTTAGAAGCCGCCCCTGCGTTTCCCCACCGCTCACGTGGGCCTATGAAGGAGGAGCCAAGCGTTCCAAGGCTTGAGGATTGGCCAAAGCGTCACGGATCCAGGGCGCGGGTTCCCGGGTTTGGGAGGCGGGCCCTGCCCCACAGAGCTTTGCAGCGATTGGCCCAAGGGGAACAGACGGAACGCAAATGGCCGCCTGGGTTCCGAGGGGCCTGTTCGCCGCCGGCACTCAATCCTGATTGGCTCAAGGAAGACACCGAGCCCAGGGGCGATTGACAAGAGTCATGGGGCGCCTGCCTCGCCCTGATTGGCCTGTAAGGGCCTGATGGGAGGCAGCCAGCTTCCGCGGAAGGGGACGGGTGGGCCTGCTCTCTGCTGGTTGGCGGACGAGGGACTCCTAGACAGCTGCCAAAACACCAACGGGGCGGTTCTGCACTCCACGCCGCTCGGCGGAAGCAGGACTTGTATAGGAGTGGGCGTAGCAGCCGGCAAGTTGGGGGTCGGACCAGGGCTCTGCGTAGGCGGGCAGGCCAACTCTACAGTGATTGGTTAGAAAAGACAAATTTAGAACCGAGCAGAGGTAGGAGGGCAGGACAGCTGCCAGACGTGCTAAGGAGCGCTGAGTGGCGGAAACCAAGTGCCTATGAGGATGGCAGGGTCGAGCTGCAGTTAGTTATAGAGGGGCGGAACCTGGCTCTACACTGATTGGCTAAAGTTGGACTCAACCTGGAATAGGGCCGGGCCGGGGAGGCGGGATCCGGCTCTGCGCCCATTGGTGGAAGCTGGGACTCTTTAGAAGCCGGCCTTGGCCGTGGTTGGGCAGAGGCGGGCGTGGGTTTAGGGTACCTGAGGAACGACTAGGGGTGTGAGAGAGGGGTAAATCTCAGGACCTGGAGTGAAAGGCTAACTGCCTAGGGCACGAATCTCTACCCTGCATCGGCTCATTGGCTACGGTCATTAACTCAGAGTGTGCACAGGAAAACAGACCGAGGGGTCAGGGGGCCCGGGTTGTCAAGGAGACAGAATATAGAGGGCACCATAGAAAGTGAAGTGGTAAATGCTGCCAGGCAACAGGCTGGAGGCGGGACTAGAGGGGAGCTTTAAAGGTTCCACACAGAGACTAGATCTCTGGGTTTCCTCATAACTTTGTGCTTTAGAAACAGGGTACCTTAGTAAGCAGCAAGGGTTAAAGGGGAAAAGAAGAGCCATGTGACTCAAAGAATTCAGTCTCTTTAATATGAAGTGGGGGAGTGGAGTGGGGGCAGAAGTCAATGGTGAGGCATCTCCGGGAAATTCTGCAGACCTTGTAATTCTCTAAGCCCCTGAAAAAAAGAAAATGAAAGACATTGAATGGAGGCTGGGTTCAGGCCTCGCCCCAGGCTTGCTCTGATGCCCCCACCCCGCTCAGAAACAGCCTGGCTCTAGCTTGGCTGCAGTTTAGAAAGAAATATGGTCTCTGGCTCTCTCCCTTGCTCAGGTCACTGCTCTAAACACACATGGAAGACAGAGTCTGGGATGGGGTGAGCTGTTCTCACCTCTAGCAACATGTGGATATGGGCCTTGATATTCATGGAGTCCTTGGTGAGGCTGTCGCTGAGCCTGGAGAAAAGAAACAAGAAAAGGGCCAAGTGGGCCCCACTTATGATCCTGAGGGCCATACTTCCTCATCACTTCAAGAACTACCTACCTCTTAGGTGACTTCCACATCGCAGGTGGCAGGACACCTGGCTACCTGACCAGCTCCTATGTAGAGAAGCCTGGCCACCATCTGGACTGCACTGATCCAAAGACTTTTATTGAATGCCTACTCTAGGCCAGGTAGTTTTAGGTACCTGGGAGACAGCCGCAAACACAACAAAAACCTTAGCTCCATGGAGCTCAAATTCTTGTTAAGAGGGACAAATAAATGATGGAATAAAATATGAGTATGTTAGATGATTATCAGTACAATGAAAAATTAAGCCATGAGGGAAGATAAGAAGTGTAGCAGTGGAGGCTGCAACTCTTACAGTGTTCGGGATGGCTTCATTGAGAAGCATTTGGGCAAAGATTTGAAATGAAGAAAATTGTGTGGACATATGGAGTCCGAATGTTCCGGACACAAGGTATAGCAAATGCAAAGGTGCTGAGGTGGAAGTGTATCTGGCACATTTAAGGCACATCAAAGAGGCCAGTGTGGCTGCAGAAGAAGTTAAGAGGGTGGAGGAGATGAGATCAGAGTCAAGCTGTGGGGGCAGGTGTGTGAAACCTACAAGGCCACGGTAAGGACTCACTTTTATGCTAGGTGAGATGAGAGCCAAAGGATGGCTGTGAGCAGAGAAGGGATGTGAACTGACAAAGGAGTAAAAAGATCCATCCTTCTGATGTGTGGAGAATTAGCTAGGGCTGAAGGGAGAGTAGAAGCAGGAAGTCCAGTGGAGAAGCTATGCAGTAGTCCAGGTGAGAGATGGAGACAGAGACTACAGTTGCAGCAGTTGGGGTGATGGGAAATGATTGGATTTGGGATATATTTTCAAGGTAGAGTCAACCAAAGGGTTAGATGTTGGGTGTGAAAGAGGACTCTGAAGATGTCAAGGTCTTAGCAACTAAGCAGCTGGAGTTGCTTGAAACCACTCTGGACCTGGACTGCTGAATTACATAAAACAATTTCTTGTGTCTAAGTCAGCTTTGATTGGTCACCCAAAAGAATCCTGATACAAAGGAAAAGGAAGGCCTTTCTGAAGAATGAGTAAGAATTAAACGATAGGAGGATCTTTCCCACATAAAGCCAAAGAGGCATAAAAGAGCTTTTTGAGGAGCAGTGAGGAGACCAGAGTAACAATTAAGTAAACGATGGAAGGAAAGTGATACAGAGTCCAAGAGGTAGGAGAGGGCTAGATAATGCAGGATCTGGATGTGCCAAGGAATGTGCATTTCATTGTGCTGGGTTATCTGTCAATATAAGAATCAGTTTTAGGGATGCATGAAACTAAACACTCTAAGGAAAGTAGAAAGTCATAACATAGAGTGTTAAATTGGAAACAATTAGTATGAATCCATTTATAAATCCCTATTTCCCAAATATATATTTTCAGTCCAGACTACCCTCCTGAACTTCAGCCTTGACAGCTGCTCCTGCCCTATCTTCTCCACTGCAGATAATGGCAACACCATCCTTCCAGTTGTTCAACCAAAAACCTGGACTCCTCTTTCTCTTCTTTTTTACCACTCCTCCCACCCATGCAATCAAACATTATTTAAAATCACAACTGCTCCATCCTAGGTGACGTTTCTTATTCTCCACAGCATTGTCAGCCTGTGACATTATTTCATTTATTTATTTTTTGTCTGTCTGCCCTGACTAGAATGTAAGCTTTGTAGGGGCAGAGATCTGGCCTGCTTTCTTCCTTGATGTATCCCCAGGAACCAAAACCATGTGTAGCACACAGTAGGCACCCACTGTGTGTTGAGTGAATAAGTGAATGATTACTGCACTCAAAGGAACCTGAAGTCCTCAAAAGATAGTTGAGTGTATGTTTGAGGACAGGAAATAGTGGAGTGTGGTATTGTTGCCAGGAAGTAAGAATGCTTTCAAGAGTATCTGGGGTGGTGCTCTAAGAACAGAGGCTTGAACTTAATCAGCTTCTAAAGGAGAATTTGAACATCAAAAAAGAGAACAAAGTTAGCTTATGGTACAAGCTGAATCTATAAAACGCTATGAGCACAACACTTAAAAGGAGAAAAATGTAGGGCCTCCCTGGTGGCGCAGCAGTTAAAGACAGTGCTATCAAGCTATCGCCAGCCACTGCAGCACAAGTTCGATCCCTGGCCAGCCAGGGAGCAACACACATGGCACAGCAGACCTCTCCTGTCTCGCCTGCTGCTTCCCTCAGCAGTGTAATTCAGTAGATCCACCTGTTCTGCTCCCCACTCTGTCCCTAGTGAATCCTCTCACCCCCAACACCTCTGGTCTGCACCCCAGTTCTTGAATGCATAAATAAATAAATCTTTAAAAAAAGGGAGAAAAATGTAAAGTTCACCAATGCTGGTTGTAACGTAAAAGGGATGTTTAAATATTACTACTGATTGACTATGTAAAGTAGTATTAATAGTCATTACATGTCTACTTATCTGTGCAATCAGGAAAGAATATACACACAGACCGGATCCACTCCCCAAACAAAGAGATACTAAAAAGGGGAAGGATTGACAGGTAGTTTTGGTTCCATAAAATAACTTGCAAGAATGTTAATTCAAAGTAACAAAGTATTTTTATTTTTATTATTATTATTTTATTTCAGAGGCATACCTCTGAAATTTTTTTTTAAAGATTTATTTATTTATTTATACAAGCACTAGGTTATAGTCAGAAGCGGGGAGGGTGAGAGAATTCACCAGAGCCAGAAACAGAACAGGCAGAGTGACAAAATACACTGCTAAGGGGAGCAGTGGGCGGCAGGAGAGGTCTGCACGCCATGTGGGACCCTCGCTGGAGGCCAGGGATCGAACTGGTGCTGCAGAGGCTGTGGGCAGCTTCGCAGCCCAGCGCTCAACCGCTGCACCACCATGGGAGGTCCTTTTTTATTATTTTTTAAAAGATCTATCTATTCATGCACACAAGAACCAGGGCACAGGCCAGATATGCGGGAGGGTGAGAGGACTCACCAGAGACAGAACGGGGAACTGAACAGACAGACTGACTGAAACACACTGCTGAGGGGAACAGTGGACGAGATAGGAGAAGTCTGCCGCATGTGGGAATCTCACTGGCCGGCTGGGAATCGAACCCGCGCTGCAGAGGCTGTGGACAGCCCCATAGTGCTGTGCTCAACCACCTGCACCACCAGGGAGGCCCCCAAGTATTTTTAAAGAGGAGAGTGAACTACATTGATTCAAATCCCCATCTTCTAGAAAGATCAAACTTCTACAGAGTCCTACTAATGATAAAGTGATGAGAGATTCAATCACATTTCTCATCATACTAATAATAAACCAGCTCAATATATCAAAAAGACAAAGGGGCTGGCACTGACAACTTAAACCACCCCATTTTTGGGAAAGACATCAAATCCCAAAAACTTAAAATCTATCTAAAATATTTAGGAATTTTGCAATGTAACAAGGAAAGCTTTGTTATTAAAAAAATCAACTTGGTTTAAACAGCCAAGAATTCAGAACTGCACTGGCCAATGAAAGCACATCCTGCAACCAAACTCTTTCCCAGTGATCTGATCATTAAGACCACGAAGGTCTGAGGTTCTTCTGGGCCTGCTAACTCTGACACCCTGGAAAACTTTGGAAAGAGAAGAATTACTGAAACTCTAGAGGAAGCAACTCTGGAAGAAATGAATATAGGGATAATAGAGACAAATGTGACCCAGAGGAATTTTAAATGAGTGATATTCATACTGGTGAGGTGCTGTTCATCTAAGTGTGTTGCTCAGCGCCCCTCCCTCCCTCCTCCGAACTATGCTCCACTCTCTTCGAAATTCCCCTAACTCAGCAGGCATGCTGGTGCCCTTGCCAGGAATGGTCTTTCTCAGCTAGCCTCATGGCTTGTTCACTGGACTCAAATATTCCTTCTTCTGGGAAGCCTTCCCTAGCTACATGTCAAACTTCTCATCCACACTCCCAATTTCGCCTCTTGCATAAAACCTTAAACTCAACCAGGGCCCATACTTTCTCCCCATATCACCTTCCTATCCACCATTTACAGAGATCTAATTGACCCCTCACATCAATTTGTTTCCTTTTACATTTATCCAACAAACATGGAGTACCTACTATATGCTATGCACTAGTCTAGTCACTTGGGGGTACAAACTATATCTTTTGCAAAGTTTATATGCTAGTGGGAGGAGGCAATGAACACTACAACAAAGTAAATTACATAGTAAACATTAGGAGGTCCTAAGTGTTAGGGGAAAAAAGAAAACAGTAGAGTAAGGGAGGGGAATCAGAAGTGCCAGGGGTTGCAATTTCAAAGTTAGGTTATAAAAGGGCTCATTGAAAAGTGACATTTTAGGGCCTCCCTGGTGGCGCAGGGTATTGAGTGCAGCACTGTGAGGCTGTCCGCGGCCTTTGCAATGCGAGTTCGATCCCCAGCCAGCCGGGAACAACCCACATGGCACAGCAGACCTCTCCTGTCTTGCCCGCTGCTCCCCTCAGCAGTATATTTTGGTACATCTGCCTGTTCTGCTCCCCACTCTCTCTGGTGAATCTTCTCACCCCCTGCAACTCGGGCCTGTATCCCACTTCTAAAAAAAAAAAATGACATTTTAGCAAGACTTAAATGGAGCAAGGAGGAAGGATGCCATACATGTACCTGGGGAAAGTGCTATAGGCAAAGAGAACAGCCAGTACAATAGCCCCAAGGTGGGACCATCCTAGGGGTGTTTAAAGAAGTCTGTTAAAGGTCAGTGTGGTGAGAGTACAGTGAAAAGCACCTTCACAGAAGGTGAAGTCAGAGGTAACTTGTTTTATTGTTACTGATTTATAGGCTGAGAATCCCCAGATCTGTTCAAAATTGTAGTAATGTATAATGGTATAATCCTTCTAGAATGTAAACCCTCAAGGAATCCTTCTTATCTTGTTCACTACTTTCTCCCCACCACCAACTACAGAGCCTGCCATATAACAGATGCCCAATTAACTATGAAGACCATTAATGAAGTGCTTATTATGTGCTACACTTAGGGGAGGGCTTTGCAGCCTCACTTTCCTCAGTCTGAGCTCCAAGGAAGAAGGGAGATGGGTCCCACAGGCAGCCATGGGAAAAGAGAGATGGGTTTTGCAAAGGGTGGTGTTTTTAGACACTATCCTCATGGAATGGACTTACTCTGTGAGGAGACAGCTCTTACGATCAATGAACTTCAGAGCTTCTGCCAGTGTCAACTCCAGGAAAAAGCCATATCCAAGGGCAACATAGATCCGGGAAGTATCTGGGCTGAGGACAAAGCAGAGGAAGAAGAGAAAGTCCTTATCATGTTTCTCACACCACACAATTTAAGATTTTTTACTTCCCTCTTCCCTCCTTCCCCAAATTGAGGCTCTAAGGGACGGCAGGGGTTTTGTCCTACTTTATTCATTGTACATCTCCAGCACCTAGGACAATGTCTGGTATGTACCAGATACTCAAAAAAAAATATTTGTGGAATGAAGGAAGGGGGAACCCTGTGGGCTCAGAGGGGTAGGTAGACACTCACACAACTGTGTCAACGAAGAAGTTACAGCCCAAATCCACCTGCATATATAACTCCGAGTGATTAGCGTCCTGTGGTGCCAGTGAAAAAGAGGTAGGGGTCAGTGGTCAACTTTTGGGTCATGTGACAGATTCTGGTCTCTTCCCATCCTTCTCCCTTGCCAAAAAGGTACCTAACCCTGGAGTCTTTACCTGGAGTCGCTCAATGACATTTCTCAGTTGAAGGTATTTGGCCAGCTGCTCATAAACCTTGTCCCGATGGTCCAGCACCTTTCTGATGTGACATGATGGGACAAGAATAAAACGGTGACCAACAGGAAGCCCTGTCCCTCTTGGGATACATGCTATCATGATCTTAGACCCTCATTCACCTAGGCTAAAGTGTGTTTTAGTGCAGAAGATCTGGACTCTGGTCGGACTGCTTGGGTTTGAAGCCAGGCTCTCCATTTTTATTAGCGGTGTGACTATAGAAAGTAATAACCTCTTTGGGACTCCATTTCCCCATCCATAAAATAGGGCCAAGTATAGTACTTTAGAGAATCATTAAGAAAACTAAATGAGTGTTCACCATAAAGCACAAAGAATGGTGCCTTCCAAATAGTAAGTTCTGTATTTGTGTTAGTCATTACTTATTAGCAGTAGTATTGCACTCCATTCCCAATACCTTCCTCCAATCAGAATATCCTGTTCTCACCGCTGAAAATCCTCCATTCCTTTTAGGGTACTCTAAGTCCCAGTTCTGAACAGAGTAATAATGACAGTAATAATAATTTTCATACTCATAGAGCCTCTAGTATCCATGTTAAATCCTTTACAAACACTGAACATACGGAAAACTCAAAACCGCCACTTGCGAAGGTCCCATTAACTTCCTCATTTCACGTATGAGGAAACTAAGGCACAGAAAAGCGAGGCAAGGGCCAACGTGCTCACAGATGGCGGAACGGTCATGCCTGGGCAGGAACCTGAGAACTCAGGCTTCGGAGATTTAGCTCTTAAGCATGAAGCAACATGAGGCCGCGCATGCGCAGACACACTCTACCGAAGCTCGCCCAGTCGCAGCCAAAGCGCACCCCGGATGTCGCCCCTCCTTCTTCCGTGAAGGGCGCCAGAGGGCTGGGCTCTGAGCGCCTCGCTCACCAATCAGAAGGCTAGACCCTGACTCCGAAAGTCCCGCCCACCACGTGGAACGTTCCAAGCGCCCCGGCCGGCGCTGTCACTCACTGCAGGTCCCGCTGCAACACGTCACTGATGAAGGCCTCATAGCGCAGCACTTTCTCCCCCGTGGTGTCCAAAGCCCGCCGCTTAGGGGGCGTCGCCATGATGGGCTCCTGAGGAATGGGGAGGGGGTAGATCACGTTGACCAGAGTTTGGCTTCATGCGCAATACCTCTGTACCCTCTCGACGTAGGGAGTGGGCTCGCCCAGCTCATGCTGGGGGTTCCTCCTTCTGCCCCTCCCAACTCTGGGGCCCCGCCACCCAGGGACACCCAAATACGGCCATTACCTTAGAGCCACCGGCTATAAGAACGGTTGGTATTAACCAGGGCTTCCGGGTGGCGCGGGTGTATGACGTATGATAAGGGCGCAGGCCAACCAAATAGCCAGGTGGGGAGGGGCGGTCCTGAGCCAAAGAAAACAGCAGAAGTGAGGAAGGGAGGGGCTGGGCGCTGTGGAATCTGCTGAGATGGCGGAGTTGTGGAGCGTGGGAACAGGGACTGCGCGTCTAGCCGTTCGTGGCTGATGGGGTGGGGTTTAATTGGATTTGGCCGATTAGGGAGAGGCGGAGCGCACAGGTGGAGGTAGAGGGAGTGGAAAATTTAGTATTTAAAAGCCAGAGCTTGGGAAGCAGAGGGGTCAGAGTTGCGCATGGTTCTGGTGTGTAAAAAGGCGAGTACACCCCTGTGATCTGTCCCCTGGATTTTGAAGTTCCACACGGGAGGATTGGGTTAGACTCCGGCAACATGAATGAATGTGAGCATTTAAAAAGTTTGAAATGGAGACAAATTTTCCAAACTTCGTCTTTGATAACGACAACCCCGCGACCCACAATCCATAATTGGGCTTCAGGCAGATATTGACAATGCTCCGTGTCCAGTCACTTCATTTAATAGGGGCGTCAAATGGAGGGTCGCTGAAGTCCTTTGCCCAAGATCCGCTATTTGTAGTTAGAAAGGTTCTTATGTTTTTATTTAAATGTGTAAGCTTTTTAAAATTTATTTTTGTTAGTTTTTTATGCGCTCAAGTTACTGAATGGATTTATTGATGCAGCAACAAAGTATATGACTGTCTCTGTCCCACCAGATAAGCGCTCTCATTTCCTTTCTTACCTCCCGAGGGGAAAGAGCATCACTAAGAAGATAGTATCTGAATTGCTGACCACCATGTGATAGCAAAACCTCCACCAAAACCGCCAGATGTTTGTGTCACAAGGATGGATATGCTGACCCTTGCCCACTCCCCCTGTCTACTACCTTGTACCTCTAGATAAACCCATCCTCTGGTCTACTGCCCTCCTTCATTTGTCAACGAATTGAAATACTTTCCTTCTCCTCAAACTCTTGTTTCCTTTTATTGGCCTTCTCCGCTGCCAGGAGCCCTTGATGTCCAGCCCCCTGAGCTCCTTATCACCCTCCTGGACACTTGGTCTCAGGCGTGCCCCACTGTGCTGAAGCTTTTCAGATAGCACTGCTCCCTGTACTCCAGATGTGTCCTTGGGCTGGAAAATTAACTCAGAGCAGACAGACCATAAAAAGATGTGTGCAGATTTCCTACTATGCCACGCACAGTGTCCTACCTAACCTCCTCTCCCTCCCTAACTGCTATCTGTGTCACTATCCACAACCAAGCTATTCCCTCCTTCCTCTCTGATAATCACCATTTTTTTTTGGGGGGGGGGCTTTCCTTGGAATTGATTCAATAGTTCATTCCTCTTTATTGCTGAGTGGTATTCCAAGGTATGGATGACCTGACCATAGTTTAACCATTCACCTGTTGAAGAATATCTGGGCTGATTCCAATTTGTGGTTATTACAAATAAAGTTATTAGGAGCATCAGTGGATAGGTTTTTGTGTGGACATAAATATTCACATATCAGATAAGTGTACAAGAGTGCAATTGCTGGGTTCTTATTCAATGTTATACAAAATGGTCAAACTTTGTGGCTGTTCTATTTTACTGTCCCACCAGCAATATATGAGTAATTCAGTTTCTTTACTGGGTCATCACTACTTTTGAAACTGAAGTCATTCTGATAACTGTGTAATGATATCTCATGGCAGCCTTAGTTTTCACGTCCCTGAAAGCTGATGCTATGGAACATCTGGTTGTCACTCAGATATTCGTTGTGTTGTCATTCAGAGATTCGTTGGTGAAATGACTTTTCACATCTTTGACCTGCTCCATATCTGACCTGCTCCATTTCGCCCCTTCTTAGACAAGTTGGCAGTCCCCCACTCCTGGGAGTTCACCCTATCGATGCAAGCCTTAGTGAGGATGCCCACTTGTCAGGGTGCACTACAGCTCAGAACTGGCCTCGAGCTACCCTCCAGCCTCAGCTTAGCAAGAGCTGGGACTACAGACCCATCCTTATTCAGTACAGTGCTGCATCTCCCAATCTCTAATGAGGGTACGTGCCCCTGAGTCAGTAGCTGTAGTGGGTTCTGTGCAGCAGCCACCCCTTCCTCCCTTGAGTTGCACTGCCCTAGAGTTGCTGCAAACACAGTTCAATTAAAGTTTTTCTTAACCTTTCTGCTGGACTGTTGCTCCTGTTTCATACTGCAGTTGTCTATCTCTCAGGCGTCATTAACTTTGTTTTGCTGCAGTTTAGTTGGGACTCTATGGAGAAGGCTAGCTTAGCATCGCCATTCTGCCACCGACTTGTTGCACTCCCATTTTGCCTTCATTTTTGAAGCTTAGATTTGCTAGATATAGGTTTCTCAATTGACAGTGTCTTTCCTCCAGCAGTATGAATATTATCCCAGTCTTCTGCCCCACACTTTTTTCTGAAAACATGTCAGATTTAATCTTATTGTGCTTACTTTTTAAGATTCACCTATTTATGCATACAAGAGCTGGGGCACAGGCCAGAGAGGCGGGAGGCGAGAGGACTCACCAGAGACAGAGCGAGGAACAGAAAAGGCAGACTGACCGAAGCACACTGCCAAGGGGAGCAGCGGGTGAAGTCAGGAGAGGCCCACTGCACCTTGTGGGCTGCTCCCTGGCCGGCCGGGGATCTAACTCGTGCTGCAGAGGCTGCGGACCACTTCACAATGTGGTGCTCAACCCCTTGTGCCACCAGGGAGCCCCTATTTTAGTTACTTTTTAATGTAGTGTTATTTTCTCTTGCCAATTTCCACATTTTTCCCTGTGTTTCAACAGTTTCACTATGGTATGTCTAGTCTAGGTGTGCATCTCTGTGTGTGTGTGTGTGTGTGTGTGTGTGAAAACAGGACATTTTATTTATTTATTTATTTATTTAAAAGATTTATCTATTCAGGCATACAAGAGCTGGGGTACAGGCCAGAGATGTAGGGGATGAGAGGATTCACCAGAGACAGAGTGGGGAGCAGCACAGGCAGACTGACTGAAACACACTGCTGAGGGGAGCAGTGGGCGAGAAAGGAGAGGTCTGCTGTGCCACGTGGGTTGCTCCCTGGCCAGCCGGGTTCGGAACTCGTGGTTTTGTTTGTTTATTTGCTCATCTTCTGACTTGCTTGGACTAATTCTAAGGACTCTGTTTCTTAAGTGTCTGGTTGCTTTTGTTTCTGCTCAGTTTTTACAAAAATTGTCTTTATTATTTAAGCCTGGCTTTGTTGGGGTAGTCCCTGGGTAAGCGTAGCTTAGTGGTCAGCCATATGATTGGTCAGAGATTACAGTTCAACATGTTCAGGTGGTAAAGGAGCTATGCTTTGCTAATGGATCTGCATGTAGCTTGAGGAATACATTCAAAGTGCAGCTATTTTCCCAACCATCTCCTGCCTTTTCCTTTCTACATTCATAGTGTTTTAAGCCCAGCTAGGGCTGAGTAGCTTTCTCCAGTTTATCTAGAAAATTCAGGCAGATTTGCTCATATGTTTGCTGTTCCAAACCACTGGGGATAAGTACAACCTGATCAAGGCTTTTCTTTTTTTTTTTTTTTTTTTTAGATTTTATGTATTTTTGCATAGAAGAACTGGGGGTGCAGGTCAGAGGTAGGGGGGGGTGTTTCTTATCCATTTCACATCCCTGCTAGATTTATGACTGATCTTTTTCTTGCTTGCCCTAATCAGTGTTGAGACCTCAGGCTAACTGAACTTTCCTGATTGTTAGCTACTGAGATCACTGTTGTTTTCAATAATGCCCTTAGGCATGGAATTGTTCTCCCTCTGAACTTGGTGTAGAGCTGCTTATTCTTTGGGCCTGCTCTTTCCTAGTGAAACTTCTGTGTCTGACAGCTACAGGAAAGAGGAACAACTCTAGATTAAAACAAGAGTCCCACCATTCTGAGATTCAGTAGAGTATAAGTAGATTATCTTGAATAGACACTTCCCAATATGTGATATGACTTTGGCCCATTTCCAGAGTTGTTATTTCCTGGTTTTGGCAATTTTGTTCACTTTTGTAATTGCTTTTTGGGGAGAGGATTTACCAAGTTCCTTACTTAGCAATTCCATAAGTCTCTCCCTTCCTTCAACTACATGCCAGTATAAATATAGTTTAGATAAGACTAATTTATGCATGCTGACTTAGAATCAAGATGAGGGGCCTTCCCTGGTGGCGCAGGCGGTTGAGTGCCACAGGCGGTTGAGCACCATGCTGTGAAGCTGTCCGCAGCCTCTGCAGAGCCGGTTTGATCCCGGCCAGCCGGCAAGGGTACCACATGGCACAGCAGACCTCTCCTGTCATGCCCACTGCTCCCCTCAGCAGTGTACTTCGTCAGTCTGCCTGTTCTGTTCCCCCCTCTGTCTCTGGTGAATCTGTTAGGGGGAAATGATGTCCTGAGTTAATCCCATACAGGCTTTGTGGTCAGGCACCCCGTTTTGTATCGGGTTGCTCTACAACAAATCTTCTCAC